ACACACACAGACACACACAGACACACACACACACACACTCACACAGACACACTCACACACACTCACAGACAGACACAGACACACACACTTACACACACACACACACACACAGTAAGTGTTTCTTAACTACAATCAATAGTTTATAATAATTTATTCAGAGGCATAATATAAGTTCATGTGAATTTTAGCATTTAAAACATTTATTATTAATGTATTAATATTAAAATCAATAGTTGCATCTGTTAATATTTAATGGGCCTGAGCTGATATGAGCAAACGACAGGGTTTCTGCAGGTTTTATAAAATCAATTTAAGACCTTTTCAAGAACATTTAAAGAATATTTAAGGAGTCGAATTAGAAGTTTGAAAATACAACTTCGAACAAATTTCCATTACTTTGAAATTAATTTTAAATAACTTTTACTGTACCTTCTTATCACACTTCAAAAACTGGTGTTCGTCCTCTGTGTTTTTCTCATTTTTTACTTTTCACTTTGTACTTTTGACATTTTTAAGGCCTTATTCTGTGGAAGGATGAATTGAGACTTTTTAAAACCTGCAGAAACCCTGAACAATGAACAGGTGTGTTTTCTTTTTTTTTTTATTAACGAAAGATTAATAAACACTGTAACAAATATATTGCTTGTTGGTTAGTGCATGAACTAACATTAACTAATGAAACCTTACTGTAAAGTGTTACTGTGTTATATTGTGAAACGGAAGCAGCTTGAATAATCAATGATCCGGTCCAGATTCAGCAGCAGTATAATGACAGTAAAGTGTCATTCACATATAAACACAGATGAAATAGTTTACTGACCGAAGTCATAGGCTTTACTAAACACAGCACATAGAGTGTGTACATAATGAGTAATAAAAGCATTTTCACACGCTTAGCTTCTGTTTTATTCTGCATTTGACACATTAATCTTTCATTTTTCGCCTCGAAGCCCCGCCCCTTGCACTTGGAGCTCCACCCCTATGGCCTCTAGCTCCACCTCCTGCCTTCCCGTGACTTTTAGGTGATGAGAAGAACTTGGTCATGAGCTCCGAGACGTCTGGAAGCTCCTGATTGGAGTTCAGCATGTTCATGGACTGCTCCATCTCCTGCCAATCAATCAATCAATCAATCACGTGATCAATCAGAGCAGAGCGTTCAAGCATTGTGAAGGAGTTCATACCCGTCTCATCTCGGGATCGCTGGGGTTGAAGACTTTAGGAAGAAGGAGGATTATGAGGAGAGGAAGAACCATCATGAGAACCTGAGAGAGCGAAGAGTAAAGCGTGAGACTGGTGCTGCGGTTACAGGAAGAGTAGGGTTGGGTATCGTTTGAATTTGATCAATTCCAATTCTGCTTACTGTTTCGATTCCAATGTGGTTTAAAAAAATTAAGTCAAACATTTAGATATCAAACATATTTATTCTGTCTCTTTTTCCAAAACATTTAATTGCTGCTGAATACAATGAACAAAAATCAGCAGGCTACATAAAAACTGGACTCGATTAAGAGCTGTTTGTGTGCAAAATAGAGCGGCACGATTCGGAGATTGTGGTTCTCTCACAATTCTGAAGAAAAAACAGACAACTAAACAAAATCTCGTGGAATTTATGAATTAATGATTCAATGACTCACTCAATATTTACTTGTTTCATTACTGGATGAATCAGTGTTTTTGAATGAATCTCTTGAATGAATGATTCAAAGACAAATACATTTTTAACAGCCCCTTTTCGCCACTTAAAAAAAAAGATGTGCACACAGGAATTGATAGGCGGAATCTAAATTTTAATTTAATTTAATTTAATTTAATTTTTTATTTAATTTAATTTAATTTAAAGCATCCCATTCTTGACCTTAAGTATCGGATTCTGGAATTGGAATTGATTTTCGATTCCCAACCCTATATCACAGCGACGCACCATCGGGTTCATGAGGAAATCGGACCAGCCCCAGGTTTCCCGCGGGATGAAGTATGAATGCAGACCGATGCAGCGCATCTGAAGCGGGTACGGCAGTCGGATCACCTCTGAGGTCTTGATGTAGTTGACCACACGAGCCCTGCACGAGCAGAGAACCGTCACCACTAACTCAACGCACATTAAAATCAATGAAACGGCAGATCTAATGCTCCTCTGTATGATTCAGTGGTTAGTTTCACACAAACACTGGTGTAGCATCCAGTGTAAGTGTGTTTTACAGCAGTAACTGTATCAAAGTTCGCATCCACACACCTCATCTTCCCTGTGGTGGTGATGTCAACCCGCACAGGCTGGAATCTGTAGGTCGGAGAGGAGATTTCCAGAACATACGATCCGGACGGAACGTCACTGACTGTGAAGCTTCCATCATCTCTGCGGAAAGAAGCAGGACTGCTCTGGTACCACGGTACAGGATGGGTCAGATGATCGAGCCATCCCAGCAAACACAGGACGCTCCTGTTTGGTTCCCAATTGTTTTGTTTTTTGGGAACAAAATCAGAAGGGAACGCACTGGGAATGTTTTTTTTTTTTTTTGGGAACCAAATTAAAACATTCTGGGAACAAACTGAGAACATTTGGTAATTTTTTTAAGGAACCAAATTAGAACATTCTGTGAACGCATTGAGAACGTTTGGTTATATTTTGGGATCCATATAAGAACGTTCTGGGAACATACTGAACACGTTTGGTTATTGTTTTTGGGAACCAAATTAAAACATTCTGGGAAAGTATTGAGAACGTTTGGTTATATTTGGACCAAATTAAAACATTCTGTGAACGTATTGTGAACGTCTGGTTACTTTTTTGGGATCCATATAAGAACGTTTTGTGAATGTACTTAGAACGTTTGGTTATTTTTAGCAACCAAATAAGAACATTCTGGGAAAGTATTGAGAACGTTTGGTTATATTTTGGGATCCATATAAGAACGTTTTGTGAATGTACTGAGAACGTTTGGTTATTTTTAGCAACCAAATAAGAACATTATGGGAAAGTATTGAGAACGTTTGGTTAGTTTTTTGGGAACCAAATTAAAACATTCTGGGAACGTATTGAGAACGTGTGGTTATATTTTAGCAACCAAATAAGAACATTATGGGAACGTTAGCGGAATGTTGTATAAAGAAAACGTTCCTGTCTAACCAACAGTACCTTAGAACGTTCTGGAAACCATAAAGCACTAGCTGGGATGGAACTGAATCATTACCATATTCACTGCATTGGCGTGCAGGCGCACCTGAGGAAGCCCACGTGTTTGTCTCCGTCCAGCAGAACCCGAGCAGATGCGATCCAGTCCTGAGCTCTGACGCCCGGAACCAGCGCTCGGCCCGACACCCGAACCCTCACGTCTCCGCCAGGCGTCTGAAACATCGCGTCTTCATCCTCATCTTCATCGTCGTGTAGTTTGACGTCTAGAGAGCAAGACGCGGCAGCAAGCAGCAGCAGCGCCGCGACACACAGGCGACACATCTCCGTCGGGTTCGTCGTTCAAGGTGTTCGTCTAAAAACCGCGGTTCTCTGAAGCTACCGTCACTCTGAGATCAAAACAAACCCGCTGGAGTTTGACAGGCGCTGCGTGATGACGTCATCGAGCGCGTGAGACTTCAGTCCTCGGCTTAACTCGTTTTTTTTTTTTTTTTTTTTTTTTTAATTTTAGTATAAACCGTTTCAATGAAGTTGAAGAGAGGAGGGAAAGACTATGATCAGAGTGGTAAAAAACAAACAAAAAAATTTATTCAATCGCAAAGTGAGTTATGTATAGTGTATATATTGTGCTATATGTAACTTATAACGATAAGAAACTATATACTTTGACTAAAATTAAAAAGAAAACAAAATATTAAAATAAAAATGTATTCAAAATATTAATAAAAACTATAAAAGCATCTAATAATTTGTATCTAAATATCTATAGTATCTAAAGTATCTAATAATTATATATATATATATATACAGTCATGTAAAACAGTTAGGACACCCTACTGAATTCCATGGTTTTCTGTATCAGGACATAATAAAAAATTATCTGGTCCTTGGCAGGTCTTAAAATTTGATGAACAACAGCACATGCCATATCACACTGTGTCATTATTTACTTAACAAAACTAAAGACAAGATGGAAAAGTCACGTGTGACAAAGTCCTGATCTCGGATGAGCTGAGAGTGAGCACATTTTCAGCTAATGTTCATTTCTGTGTGAACTGCTCCTTTGACTGAGTAAGAGCAGATTAGTTTGTCATCCCAGTGATGATAGTTTGGATGGTTTAGTTCTAGTTTTGTGTCTTGCTTGTGCGTGTGGTGAATGTGCTTTACAGCATGTGATTGTTTTCACAGGATTTTGCGTATGACATGCATGAGGGAAAGAAACACACAGTCTGATGGCCATGTAGTGTCATTTTTTCTGCTTTCATGTTAATTTGAACGACATGATAGAATGATTATTTTCAAGTGAACAGTTTTGGCTGCTGTGTCTTTAAGGCATCTATATTTAGCACAAAAATACAGAAAGCAGTCAAATCAAGTCATGATCAAAATATCATTTTGACCCGATTGTCTAATGTTGTCCATAATATCATAATCAGAGACAGAAACCACAAATACAGCTGTCAAACCTGAGCATCTGAAAACTCATTAGAGCAACGAAACCCAACAACCGACCACAATATTCCCCAAATCGCTGTTTTGAGTTCAGATTTGATTGTGTAAGTGTCTGGAAAATAGACGGATCTGATTTGAGTTTGTCGTGTCTGAGGTTTCTGACGATGGGCTGCTTTCTTTTACATTCATTTACTGATGCTTTTATCCAAAGCAGCTTATATGCGTTCATTAAATTAGTTAAAGAAGTGTTCATTTTGTCAGGTTTCACTGTTCACCTCTTAATTGTTAACTGAGCATAAGAATAATTTCATTACCAGTAATGAGGACTATTTCATCACACTCGTCTCATGTGTAACTTGTAATGTTGAAGTCGTATACTTTTTAGTTTTAAAACAGTGTGTGTTTGAAATATTACATCATAATGTGATTATGAGCTGAACTGCTGAACACAGAGCATCTGTTTTTAATCACAGCCTTGACTCTGAGGGGGTTTTACATGCCAGTGTTATGTTAGTGGCATTTAGATGCTATTGTAGTTTTTAATATTTGTATTTTTTTATTTTCTGTTTGCATTTAAATTTGAATCAAAGTAGCTCAAGAGCCGCCAACATCTAAACAACATCAGCAGAGCCAAAGAACACGGAGAAACGGGCCGGAGGCATTCAGTTACACTTTACGAATCACATTTACACCAAAACCAAAAGAAAAATACAATTATTATATTTTGCATAGACAAAACAAGTCTTGTTTAGGATTTTGATTGCTTTGGGACATTATTATGTATCATGTGCTTTCCCCCAGTTGTTTAACCGTCATAATGCATTCAGAATCTCTAGACTGTTTCCACATTCCGGCTCTGTTTGGACTTGAAGAATTGTTATTTTATAAAAGACGTAAAACTTATTTTTCAAATAAAACCATATTGTATCTGATCAGCAACATCTTGATAATAAGTGAATGTGAACATTTTTTGAATGTTACCATATTTTCACTGCATTTACCTCATTATTAATGAAAAAATGGATAAGTTCTTTGAAATTTCAAAGTATATATGAACTACTCCAAACAAAACTAAGATGTAAAAA